GTGAGTGGGTTCATATGATTAATTGATAAACTTGAAGCAGTCTAGGTGAAACTTACCCAACGAGTTTTAGTCGATATATTGACGACTGTTAACTTCAGGTATGCATTGATATATATTTATATTTTTTAGGGTACAAATTGAGATTAGTTATGTTTGAAGGTACAAATTTAGACTCGAGAGCTCTTTCGGAGTACAATTTATGATTAACCCAAAGTTTAATGAAATACTAAATACAAATATTTGAAGTATGCAGAAAATAGATAAAAATTGGAGACACTTTTTGTAATATCCCAAATTTAAAATATATATAATATTAGTTTTTAGGTTAATTTGTAATATTTTTTTTAGAAAGGGATGTTAATGTATTTAATGAATTTGAGGACTTGTTGGGTTTCTTTTCTCTTCTATACGTATATATGTAGGCAGTCAAAATAGGGCAAGAGAAAAAAAAATAAGAAGAAAGAAAGAAAGGCAGCTAGGGTTATATATAAAAGAGAGAGAGAGAGAGAGAGAGAGAGAAGGAGGAGGAGGAAAAAAAAAGGGACTTGAATCCATCCAAGGTATGAATTGATTATTTTTCTTATGAATTTTATATTTTTATTCAATTAAAGGGTATAGGATTTATAATGTTTGTGTGTGTATATATATATATAGGTCTCATGATATCTTATTAATTATTAAAGATATTAAATTGATCTTTAAGTTTATAATTATTTGGAATTGATTGAGTTTTAATCAATGTGTTGGGAAGAAAAAAAAAGGGAAAGGAAACTATTGGTTTTAGAGTTTTCGTAGGAAGTAGATGATGAAAAAGTGTAAAATTATGGAAACTTTTCTTTTAGTTTCAAAGAGTTTTACTTTAACCCCTATATTCTTTGAAATTTATTTTTAACCTCCTTTTTGCTTGGTAAGTTGAAAGAATTGAATTCTGGAAAATTTATGGCAGTCTTGAAAACAGAAAATTCGTTTTTCAAAGAAATTATACTTTAACTCCAAAAGTTTTAAAAATTATGATTTGACCCACAATTTTAGAAATTTTTTTTAAACAGCCCAAAATACTTCCATACCCTATTACCTCATATTATAAAGGATATTTATATGTACAAAATATATTAACTATATATCAATGAGTGAGAGATATAAAAATTAAATATAAAATTGCGAAATGACGAAGTTAGGAATAGAGATTGATTGTGATATGTTATTTTGAATTAGGTGGTGATTGCATCGAGGTTGGAAAGATTTCTTTGAATTAGATTTTGGAAATTAATGTGAGTAGTTTACTACTTCTATTGAAAGAATTTTCTATATTAAATTGTGAGTGCGTGTATGTGTGAATTTTTATATATATGATATATGTTGATGTTTGGGGATGCAATTAAATGTTTTGCAATTGTGAATTATTATACTTGTGAAGTTTGGAAAAACTTATGGAATGATTTTATATCATTGCTCAAATGTTTTGATGATGAAAGGGAAATTTTGTGTGCGTTGGGACTAAAACAACAGTTTTAGTGTGTGTTGAAATCATGTTTTATGAGAAAGGGACTGGGTTACCAGGTCTAAATGGTAACGAGATTGTATACTGGCATGATCGGTATAGAGATGTGCACGTAGGGGCCAGTTATTAGGCTAGTGATAACAAGAGATGAGATCAGTCATCAGGCTAGTGATGACAAGAAATAAGGTCAGTTACCAGGCTAGTGGTAATAAACATGATTTGACAAAATATATTTGAAATTGAATGTGTGTGTGTGTGTGAGTGTTTTGAGTTATAAATGTTTATAAAGTTATTTATGAAAATGAGTGGGTGTTTGGGTTATAAATGTCTTTTCTTTTATAAAGTTATTTATGATCATAAAATCATTTTGTTTACATGATTATGTGGAAGGGATTGAGGTACAATTTGTTATACTTATGTAGGTAAAAAAGTTTATTTTTGCATATAAAATGTGAAATTTATTTTCACACCTCATTAGAGGTGGTTGCTATTCATGGGCCTTTGTGCTCACCGAAACATTTAACATTTTTCAGGTGAGAATCAAGGGGAAGAGTAAATCCCCGGATAGACAATGGATTAGAATGATTGAAGATTTATTGCATTGTAGGTCTTTAGGAATAAATGTCTTATATGGTTTTGAGACAAATATTTAATTATTTTTGGGATTAATGTTGCTCATGTTTAGACTTTAGAGTAGTGAATCTTATGGTTTAGTTATTGTTTTACATGAGTTTAATAATGTTGTTGGTGATGTTTAGTTTATTCATCTAGTATTCATTAGATCGGTGAAATAGATTACTTTATTATTTGTCTTCCGTTGTATTTTGTATTTATTATGCACAAGATTAGTTGGTTAAGGTCTTGGTGGCCGGTCCGCTGCTCACCCTATGTGATCCAGGGTGGGGTGTGACACTTTTGCTTAGGATTATCCAAGAGTCGTGTTTGCTCTGTAAGTTTTTATTATGTCAAAAATATAATCAATTCATATTCGACACATCTATAGTGATAGAGTTTGACCCAAACTCTCATTAGTTAATGTTGCATCAAAATCTGTTGTTATCAATGGAGAGACTCAATTGACGGACAGTTTTTAGACAATTATTGGTAATGGGTTCAACTGTCATGTTTCATGATTTTCTTGAATGAATTTTAATGGATAATCACATAATACAGAGAACTAATAAAATAAATTTTTTTATTAATTCAGTGTAAAGGACTTTAGTTAATAAAAGATTAGATTAACAGTCTTGATTGCATTAATAATTGCTTCCTAAAACTAATCTAAAATTACTCCTAAAAATGCTCAGATCGTGGGTTTTGTGGGGGTTTGAATGTATCTTTCATCTTCTCCACTATGTCTTTTTCTAGCCACTGCCTTCGACAATTTTATATTCATCGATGGTTATCTGACTAATAACTTCTAGTTAATTATTTCTTCTTTTCAAATATGTTTGTGGCTGATTATCTTTCGCCTTTATTCATATTATGCCACGTGACATCTTTTCAATACATTCAAATTTGTCAGATGTCAATATATCAAATATTTCTGTAATTTTATATTTTAGATCCAAATAATGTCTCCTTCATTTAATCGAATGATAACTCAGGAAAATGAATAGTTTGTAATTGTTTAATCCCTAGTTCTGAACTAGAGACCCTTATTCGTAAATTCTCTTACCACGTCATCTAGTGGTATTGCATCTAGTTTGACTATTTCTTTTGCACATAACCAACAACTCTTCCTCTCTAGAACCAAGCCTACTATGAATTGGTATCCTCATCTTACGGACAATCCTCTTTTTGTCGACTACCAAACTGGCAATCTTGTCATCCTGCAAATTAACAAAAACTATATTAATATTTATCTCTTAGGAGAAAAGATTTTTATCTACCTCCATGGTTTCTTCTTCTTTTATGGCATACTTAAGCATCTTTTTTAGATTAAATCTTGCACATGATTTCTAAAAGTGATGCAATTTTTATTTGAATGCCTAAATGAATTATGTCATTTATAGTATTCTTTTTCTTTTTTGAATTTTTTTGGTGGGATATTATGTCCTTGAGAATTTTTTGTTGATCATCTCATCGAAAAGGGTATCAATTATTGATAAATCAAAGGAATACTACCTAAAGGTTGAGGGTGTATCCTTTTTGAAAGGATGACTGGATGACATGTCCACAAGATTTCTCCTCTGTGGCCTTGCTTTTGGTATTTATAGGAGATGATCTTTAATCGTCAAACCCATCTTTTTGATAACGTTCATGGATCCAAGTCTGATGATAGAGCCACAAATAATTCAAATACTATAGTAGATAGTTGATAGCCATTATCTTAATTTTCTATTTATCTTGTACTTACCCATTTAATTGGGTCACATTCACTTTGTAATCTTTTTATATAAACTGAATACTAACTCCTCTCATCTCATCGTGAGATAGAGTTCTCAAAACTCTTTACTTTTTTCGTCCATGACTATAATCATGGTCTCTTCTCCTGAGATACTCAGATGTGCATTGAACCGTATCAATCTAGCAGCTCTTAATATCACGTTTCCTTGGTTTTCAAGATTTTTAGACACTTCCTTAACCGTCCTGTTATGTTTGAACTCCCACTGACCTTCTTTTGACTGTTAGATCACCTCAACGTGTTATCCTCAGAGTTATTATTTTGAGTGTAAACAGGCAACTACATTTATATGTTAGTATATAAATTATGGATGCATTCGATGCATTAACATCTGGGTAGTTCAAGAAGTACTAAGAAGATGCCACTTGTCAAAAAGTGGAAAAGGTGGGAGATGATCAACCCCAACCCTTTTTGAAAGTGGAATAACCGTCTAGGAGTTACAAGCAAAGTAACCGTCGATGGACGAAAACTATCGAAGGAAATAGCTATAAAAGATAGATAAGAATGAAGTCGAAGGACAACTCAAACCCCCTACAAGACCCACGATCAGGGTATTTAGGAGTAATGCTAGTTTTAGAAAGTAGTTAGTGTTGTACTCAAAGGTCGTTAATTCAATCTCTCTATAACTGAAGTTCATTCAATAGAATTAATAAATAAATTTTCTTTTATAAGTTCATCATTCTGTGTGATTCATCGATTTAAAAACTTCATCCAAGGAAGTCCTGAAACAAGGCAGTTGAACTCATCCACAAACAATTGCATGTCAATTGAGGCACTCTGTTGATTACGATAAATTTGGAGCAACAGTTAGCTAATTAGAAGCTCATGCATAAACAAAGCTCAATAATATGTTGAACATTTACTAAAAGTAGATGACTTTTACATTTATTACGACAACATTAAGCCTGTAATCGACACTAACAATATCAAAGGGCTAAACCCAAACAAAACATTGAACCCTGGCACAAGACACAACATAAAAATCACATAGTAAGAGGGTGGTCTCAATCCTATGATTCTGCAGGAGTTTATTTAACATATATTAATTTGATGGTCTGTAAGTAGCAGATGCTTCACCATTGTGCTATTTATTTAGAAGCAGTAGCAGCTTGGAGGGAAAAATGCGACGAGTTCAGTTTTAGGATGCAAATTTTCCTTCATAATGCTACAGTTGACAAACTCATTGATCCATTCGCATAATGTTGGGTATTTTTCTTTTGTCAAAACCTCAACTCCTGTTACTTCCTGGGTAATTGGAAACCAATGGCTTATGAAATTAGCAGCAATATCAGCCAGTCCTATGTTGTCTCCTCCGAAGAATTTCTTATCCTTGAGTTCATTGTCAAGAATTTTCAGCAGCTCACTAGCTTCTTCTTTGGCCTTCTCTTGTTCCTCGCCTTGGCTCCAGCAACATTTCCAAAATACAGGCAAGCACTGAACAAACCAATTACATATTTTAGTTTTGGGTATGTGAAAGGTAGAAAGACTTTTAAATCATATACTAAGTATGGATATAGATACTAATGCTCCGTTTGATGCGAATGTTGAAAAATAAGTTTTGGGTATGTGAAAGGTAGAAAGACTTTTAAATCACCTACTAAGTATGGATATAGATAAAATCTTATTTATGACAACTACGTACTTAGAAATATGCAGAATATTTGTTAACTTCATGGCACCAAAAAACGGATATGTGGTGTCTTGAATAAAATGATTGGACTTGGGTTTGTTGCTCTTCTTAAGTCCTTGCAAGTGTGGTATGATGCTGGATAAAATATGTATAGAATTTGCATGTACTCCGTTATGTGTTCATTAACGAAAAAAATGTTACTGAATTTAAAGAAGACAGAAATAGATGATTGTTATCTTTTCATCCATGAACTTAGCCCAGAAACGGGCCTTGATCCTCTCATAAGGATCTTTGGGCAAGATGGGAGTGCCCTTCCATGTCTCATCTATGTATTCAAGTATAACTAGAGACTCACAAATTGGCTTTCCATTGTGCAAGAGCACATGAATTTTCTTATGCACAAGGTTGTACTTGAGAAGAAGAGGACTCTTGTTTGACAGATCTTCTGCTATGAATTCATATTGGACTCCCTTCATTTTCAGAGCAGTCTCTACTCTACGGTTAATTGGGCTTCCCTTAACACCAATCAACTTCACTTCTTCTTCTGCCATTGCAAACACTAGATAGATCTCTCAGTTCTTACACTTTTACAGAAACAATGTGATGCAACTTCTCAGTGTTGATTTTTCTTTATACAGAGTGTTCATCACCCTAGTGGCTAGCCCACCAAGATATAAAATGACTATTTAATTTGTTATTTTTAACAATAATACTATACTAACCAAATTTTGAAATCAAATTTAGAGCCCAAATGATATGACAGCTGACTATTTGAAGTTTTTATTGGAGCCCAAATGACATGACACCAAATAAAGAAGTCCAAGTCAGCTGCCATGTCATTTGGACTTTAAATTTAGTCTCAAAATTTAGCCAGTGACCGGTTGTGGATATAAATATTGAAGATTCCGATGCAAGCCCATCTGGGAAATTTCCATTGAAGCACCGACTTAGTGTTGACTTTGTCATTATTTACCATAGAAAATTTAATTTCGAACTTGATGAATGTAATATTTTGGCTCGACTTGCTGATAATTAATTGTATGTAGATCGGAGAAGTGACCTATGGGATGACTTCAGCCACCTTAGCCATTAAGGTTCCCATGCCTCGATAGTTTTAGTTAAGCTAAATTAAGTTGACCAATACTATGTAAATGAAATATTTATGTTGGGCAAAGGTTTCTTGTTGAGCAATATGCATATTAACAAATCAACTGGGCTTAATGTGGTTACTTTCTGACTTTCGCAATTAAGAGATCAAATAGTGATATAATAAATTGAGAATATAAGAGAGATCGATGATAGAATAAGGAGACACAAGGAAGAATGTGATTTGACAAATTGTCTGCACCCACGAACATAATATCCTATGGACTATATCTGGGCCTGTTTTGTTTGAGGTATAAGATTTTATATTCATTCCATTTCGATCCAATGGTATATTATACCCGATTTTAAACTATAATCTCATATTTTCCCTTGTTTATTTGTCACAAACATTATTTGTGTAATAACTACTTAAAAAAGTCAAAAATTGCAACTATTCAATGTGAAAAGACAATTGTAGCCTTATAATCTTATATGGGATATTGTACATAAGGGCATTTAGGTCTTTTTACTCTATTATACCTACATGAAATTTATACCGAGAATATGATACCACCGGGTATGTGGTATTGTTTAGCACCGTATACAAGGCATAAGAGTTACTGTTCACACCGGGTCAATACTATGACCCGGAAATTAATATCGAGTAAAAAATGTCAAACAAACAAAATATAAGATAAGCCCCACGTACTATTTTTCTTATACCACCCCCTTATCTTACCCTTATACCTCAAACAAATAGCCCCCTGATGTATTATTCAATGTGATTGATTACCTAAAGTTCAACCTTATTTATAGGGTAAAGATTACATATGATAAAGAAAAATTCCAAAAGAAGGTACAAAAGAATGATATATATATATATATATATATACTAGTCATTGTCCATGTCTGAAGACAATATACAATAAACAAAAAAAATTTAAACAATTGTCCAAATTCAAAAGGAATGACCTAAAAAAATTCATATTAATTCTTCTTTTAAAATGACTTGAAATATATCGTCGGTCATATTCTCCATATTAATAAAACTGTCATAAAAATATATAAAAACTCCTTAAAATAACATTATATATATAAATGCTTCTGGAAACAAAAAACAAATACTAACATAACCCATTGAAATTTACAAATTTTAAACAATAAATAAAAAAATAAAATTTTACTTATTTATAACACTTAAGAATTTATCACATCTACTACCAATCAATCCAATAACACAACATTATTATAAACTCAACCACTATATTTTCAATCCATCCTATCCCATATAATAAATACCACAAGCAAAAAAAAAAAATATATATATATATATATATATATATATATTAACAGAACATAATTAAATTCACAATCTTTAAGAGATAAATAAATAACCAAATCTTGCTCACTTATAAAACTTGTGAATTTATCACCACTGTTATCATTCAACCCCAAATGACAAAATATAATTATAAATTTAATCAACAAATGTCTTATCCTCCACATATATATACACATAAACACACTCATACACATTTAATTTTTGATTACCAACAAACCCTCCTAATTAATAACTGATTTTATTATAAATACAATAATTCAAGTTTTTAAGATAAAATAATAATAAATTAATGTTTAATTAAAAAACAAAGTAAAAATCACGGACATTCCTTGAATTTTGGCAATATTACACAGACGCCTTCTAACATTTTATAAATAACACGGAGACCTCCTAAGGTTTAAAAATTATTGTATGGAGACCCCCTATGTCTTCCTTCTATGAATGTTACTAATGAAAATTGATAATTTCATCCCAAAAAATTTTATTATTTTTACAATTACTCTTCTCTAAATTTAGTATCAAAAAAATTAAAAATTTAATAAAATCAAATAAAATTTAATTTAGTACCCAAAAAATTGATTAAATGAATTTCAATATTAATTTAATAACAATAAACAAATTAATTTGATATTAATTCAATAAAGTTGAATATAAATTGGGCATAATTAAATGTCAATTTTTGATAAAATTATATATTAATTTATAATTTAAGGTTCATTTCGTTTTAAAACTTATTTGGCATTTATAGTTAATGAACTATTTTTTATTTACATTAAGTTTTATTTACAAATGAAGAAGTAAGTGGCATAATACATGTCGTTAGATATATAAAAACTTGGAATTAGTTTCATGAAATAAATAATTGCATAAAAAGTAGTTTCATCTTTTTTACAGAGAAGATAATAACAAAAAAATACATGGGAAACAAAAAAAAATAGTATGAGAGAGAGAGAGAGAGAGAGAAAGTGTGTGTGTGTGTGTGTGTGTGTGTGAGCGTGTTATATGGGAGATGAGAGTGTTAGAGTTGTAAAAAGAATGAAAGTTCAATTAAGTCTATCAGATCAAAACGATCTGAACTACGAAAAGCTAAAAACAAATAAATGTAGCTACTTTATTATATATATATATGTACTTGCTATCATCACAACTGTCTCATTAGATCACTGTAGTACTTCTCTGCTCATATATCAAACTAAATGTTGCACCTTGTTTAAAATCGCCTTTCCACCAAGAGCGGCCCAAGGTAAAGAGGGCTTAGACGAAAGAGAGAATCACACACCAGAGAGAGTGCAGCATGTGTGTATGTGTGTTGGAGGGAGCATTAATTGGGGGTGTAAGTGTGAGAGAGAGAGTTGAGACCAGAGTTAAATTGAATTTGCGTGATATTTGGGAAGGAGATTAAGGTATAAAAAATATTAATTGGACAAAGAGATGTTGCAATTGAGGGATTCAAATTTTTGGGGATTGCAAAAATAATAAAAACTCCTTTTGGTCTATTGGATCAAAAATTTTGAAATGATCTGAGACGTCAATAGCTTAAGACAGTTTGAGATAGCATTATCTGTTGGATAATACATTTTTTGGCACAAAATGATCTAAATCACTCTTTGTCTATAGGATTCAAAATCATTCTATTTTATTATATAGATAAACTATTAATTGCCTGTACATGAAAGCACTGTGTTACAAATAAAAAAACCGCAAGCAAATGCTCTTGCTTGAAGTCATTATATAACACGAAAAAGATTGTTAATCAAAAAAATTGAGAACAAAATTGCCAATCAATATGTGTCTAACATAACACAAACTCGACAATTAAAAAATTGAAAAAAAAATGCAAATCAATATAAGTCGACTATTATTTGTAAAAATTGACAATTATCTCTAAAAACATGACTCTTAAACAATTACAATCTTTTGACCAACAAAATAATATAATCTTTGTACACAACTCAAATCTATTGTGATGGGCCGGGGCCAAGGCCCAACTCAGATAATGGGCCTAACTCAAATTAGGCCCAACTCAAAATAATGGGTCCGACCCTGAAAAGGCCTACTGGGTCTGGCCCCGAAGGAACCCAGATCTAGATAGGCTCACCAAAGCCCAGCCATCCATGCAATCCTGGAGTGAGGAGGTCTGCCACGCCATCCGAAGATCTGGTCTTGAGGAGATCTCCATGCCTTCTCTGCAATTGCCTCATCTGTTGTGAGGATAGCACCCACTCCACCAAATCAGTTTTCTATTACTAATAAGGCTCTTCAATTTGTTAGGAGGCACCTAAAATTCTAAACTCCGCCTACATATGGGGGGCATCTCTCTTGCATCTCTCTCACATCTCACATCTCACATCTCATATCTCACATCATACTCACACTTAAACACCCAACACTCCTTGAAGCAATAAAATACTCAGGTCATTCTAGCTCTTTATAGTAGAGTAGGTCGTCTTGATCGAACCACTTAAATTGTATTTTGCATGTGTTGGCTCTCATTATTTATTACTGTATTAAATACTTGACAGATGGTGCATCAATAGTTTGGCGCCGTCTATGGGAACCGACAAAGTTTTCACCAAACCATCTTTTTGTATCTATGACAATCACCACTAGATCCATGAATCAGCCTAAGGATAATCTACCACGTGACGAGGAGGTCTTGCCTCCGCCAACCAATCCCTTTCTTGACCCGCAACAAATGTTATTACAGATGATGCAACTACTAGTGAACCAAAACCAGTAGATCCTCCAGTTGATGCTTGCCAAACAAAGAGGTGTGCACCCATGAGTAGAGCACCTCAAGCAACTTGCCCAAGGTGCCAAGAGGGCCCTTAGCTGGGCGTCCACCGCCAGGCCACTCGCCAGGGTGCCCCCTTGAAGCACTAAGGAGCCCCTCCTTAGTGCCAAGAGGTGGCTCCTCCTCCTCCTCCTCCTCCTCCACCAGCTTCGTCCTTCTATGCTGGTGACCCTCCTCTCCAAGCAGACAAAGGGAAAAACTAATGTGGAGACCACCACTTCCATGACATCTCGAAGGGAGTCCCCAATCAGTGGGATGAAAAAATAAAATAAGTGCAAAACCAACTGGATGATGTCTTTAATGCTATGAAGGCCCAAGGACCTGAAACCTTTGAATACCTAATGAGGCATATTGACACGTCTTTCGTAGCCGATGTGGCAAATTATCCACTCCCCCAGAAATTTAATATGCCAACGGTAGAGGGCTTTGATGGCACAAAAGACACACTAGATCACCTTGATACCTATAAATCCTTGATGCAGCTACACAACGTTCCTAACAAGATCATGTGTAGAGACTTCCCAACTACCCTGAAAGGATCTGCTAGATTGTGGTTCGTCAACTCGCCCCGGTCTCCATAGACTCCTTTGCCGAACTAAGCAGATCTTTTGTTTCACACTTCATCGGAGGACGCCGCCACCAAAAGCCTTCCATCCGCCTGCTCAACATAAACCAAGATCGAGACAAAAGCTTGAGAAATTACCTCACTCATTTTAATGAGGAGGTCCTCTAGATTAAGGAGACTGATGATAAGGTCACCACAATCGCCTTCTTGGGGAGCCTCTGCTCATCGAGTTTCTTCTTCTCAGTGATGAAACGTCCACCAAAGAATATATCAAAGTTATTAGTGAAAGTTCAAAAGTATATGAATGTTGAGGACATCACCAAGGCCAAGTGAGGTGAGTCCTCACGAGTAGGGGAGAAAAGGAAAGAGAGAGACCGAGGAGACCGGGACGACAAGAGGGAGACCAGCAACAAACAAGGCAGGACAAAAAGGATGCCCGCCAAAGACCGGCTTGGTCCTGCTCCACAAAGAGAGCGACAAATCTTCACGCCGTTTAATGCCTCTGTTGGGCACATCCTATTTCAGATCCAGGATGACCTCATAGTAAGATGATCGGGAATCCAAGCAAGTATTTTCGCTTCCATCGCGACCACGACCATGACATGGACGATTGTTATGAGTTCAAAAGACAGCTTGAGTAGCTCATATAGCACGACCAACTATGCCAATACGTGGATGATAGAGACCAAGTACCACCACCAGCTTGCAATCAGGATGACCAACAACCTTTTGAAAAAAATTCAGACCATCTCTGGAGGGCTCGTAAGAGGAGGTGAATCCCACTCAGCCATAAAGGCCCATGCCAGAAAACTTAGGCACACCAATGACTTACGCCCATCCAAATCACACAAGCAAGGAGATGGCAAGGTCACCTCCTTTACAAACAAGGATCTAGAAGGAATTTAGCACCCCATGATGACCTATTGGCGCTAATTATGACCATTGCCAATTTCCAAGTAAGGAGGATTCTGGTGGACAGTGGCAGCTCTGCAGACATCTTATTCGTAGAGCCTATGATAAGCTCCGCCTTGGAAGGGAGAGACTACAACCCATAATTGGATTCTCTAGATAGAATGTATACCCCCTAGGGTCCATCATCCTGCAGTCACCGTTGGCACAGCATCCCAAAGCTCCACCGTGATGGTGAACTTCTTGGTGATAGATTGCCCATCGACCTACAATGTCATCTTAGGGCGACCCGCGCTTAACACCCTAAGAGTGGTAGCCTCCACTTAACATCTTATCCTCCACTTTCCAACCCTAGCTGAAATTGGAGAGGGTCAAGGAGATAAGGTTGTAGCAAGAGAATGTTACGTCTCCTCAGTGAGGGCCAAGAAGTCACAAATGGACCTATAGGTGGAGGTGTTTGACCCTAGAGATAATAACATATTGGAGAGAGGAGATCCAGTGGAAGAGCTAACACTAGTGATCCTAGGCAAGGAGCAGCCAGAGAGGAGGGTGTACATTGACTCCTTTCTTCCTAAGGAGCTAGCCCGCTAGCTCGTGGATTTTCTTAGACGAAATATGGACATGGTCACACGTGAACCTTGAGGGCATCAACCCTGAGGTCGCCACCCACTGCCTCAATGTCAATCCCCGTTATAAGCATGTTCACCAAAAGCTTAAGAGTGTCTCCACTAAAAGAGCAGAAGCAATGGACAATGAGATAAAAAAAAAAAAAAACTAATTGAAAATGGGGCAGTTAGAGAAGTAGTCTATCTAGTTTGGCTATCAAATGTGGTAATGGTGACCAAGATTGGTGGAAAAAGGCAATTTGTGTCGACTTTACTGAGCTCCATAAGGCATGTCCCAAGGACAGTTACCCATTGCCGCGAATCAACATCCTCATCGACGTCACTGCTGGTCATGAGCTGCTCATCTTCCTAGATGCATATTCTAGATATAACCAGGTCATCATGTATCCTACAGACTAGGAGAAGACATCCTTAATCACTCCAAACAGAACCTACTGCTATAAGGTCACGCCTTTTAGACTAAAAAATGCAAGAGTAACATATCAACGATTGGTGAACAAGATGTTCCAGTCACAGATTGGAAGGACAATGGAGATGTATATAGACGACATGCTGGTAAAGAGCCTCGCCGTGGTGGACCACGTAGACCACCTACAAGAGACCTTTGATGTTCTCTGATCGTAGCACATGAAGTTGAACCCTAAGAAGTGCGCTTTTGGCGTCAGATCAAGAAAGTTCCTAGGCTTTATGATCAACCAAAAGAGAATTGAGGCAAATCTAGATAAAATCAAAGTCAGCCTGGATATGAAGTCGCCCACCACAATGAAGGAGCTCTAGTGTCTCAATGGGATAATTGTAGCCCTCAATGGGAAAATGCCACTTGTCAGAAACTAGAAAAGGTTAGAGATGATCAACCACGACCCTTTTTGAAAGTGGAATAATCATGTAGGAGTTACAAGCCAAGTACTGTTGATGGAGGAAAACCATCGAAGGAAATGACTATAAAAGATAGACAGGAATGAAGTCGAATGATAACTCCCTACAAGACCCACGATCAAGGTATTTAGGAGTAATGCTAATTTTTTGAAAGTAGTTAGTGTTGTAATCAAATGTCGTTAATTCAATCTCTCTATAACTGAAGTTCATTCAATAGAATTTATAAATGAATTTGCTTTTATTCATCCAATGAAGTCTTAAAATAAGGCAGTTGAACCCATCCACAAATAATTGTCTGATAACCTTTATGTCGATCGAGGCATTCTGTTGATTGAAATAAATTTTGGAGCAACTGTTAGCTAATTGGAAGCTCATACATAAACAAAGCTCAGTAATAAGCTGAACGTCTACTAAAAGTAGATGACTTTTACATAAATTACAATGACATTAAGCCCTTAATCCACACTAACAATATCAAATGGCTAAACCCAAACAACACGTTCAACCCCAACACAAGACACAACATAGAAATCATATAGGAAGAGGGTGGTCTCAAGCCTGTGATTCTGCAAGAGTTTATTTAACATAGATTAACTTCACGGTCTATGAGTAGCAGATGCAACATCATTGTGTTATTTATTTAGTAGCAGTAGCGGCTTGGAGGCGACCTCGGAAAACGGCGACGAGTTCTTCTTTGGGATGCAAATTTTCCTTGATAATGCTACAGTTGACAAATTCATCGATCCATTCGTATAGTTTTGGGTATTTGTCTTTTGTTGAAACCTCAACACCTGTTACTTCCTGGATAATTAGAAACCAATGACTTATGAAATTAGCAGCAATATCAGCCAGTCCAATGGTGTCTCCTCCAAAGAATTTCTTATCCTTGAGTTCATTGTCAAGAATTTTCAGGAGTTCACAGGCTTCTTCCTTGGCCTTCTCTTGTTCCTCGCCTTGGCTCGAGCAAGACTTCCACAATGGTTGCAAGCACTACACACACCATTTACACAGGGTTATGTGAAAGATATAAAAAGACTTTTAAATCACCCTCTATGCACAGACACAGAAATGACCACACCCCCCCCCCCCCAGAAAAATATATATATATCCAAAACGTATCTAAGGCGTATCTAATACGATCGAATATTTGTTTGCTTCTTGCAAACAAGCCACAGAACTCAAATATAGTGGCTTTGAATCAAATGTTACTGAATTTAAAGAAAGACAAAACAAGATGAGTGTTACCTTGTCATCCATGAACTTTGCCCAGAAACGTGCCTTGGCTCTTTCATAAGGATCTTCGGGCAAGATGGGAGTACCCTTCCAAGTCTCATCAATGTATTCAATTATAACAAGAGACTCACAAATTGGCTTACCATTGTGCAAGAGCACAGGAATTTTTTTATGCACAGGGTTGTACTTGAGAAGAAGAGGACTCTTGTTTGACACATCTTCTTCCATGAATTCATATTGGACACCCTTCATTTTCAGAGCAGTCTCTACTCTGCGGGTAAATGGGCTTCCCTTAGCACCAATCAACATCACTTCTTCTGCCATTGCAAACACTAGATGTGTCAGTTCTTACACTTCCAGAAACAATGTGGATGCAAGTATTCAGTTTTGATTTTTCTTTATGTAGACTGTTCTTCACCTACTAGCTTGCCCACCAAGACATAAAATGAATATTTAATTTGTTTAATTTAATCCACCAATCCAAGACTGGTTGTGGATAAGAATATTAAAAATTCCAATCCAGCCCATCCGGGAAATTTCCATTGAAGCACTCACTCGATGTTGATTTCTCCGTCACTGCCAAGTGTAAGCAGAGTCCAGAGTCCAGAGTCCAGAGTCCAGACACTCACTGGGTGTTGAAACTTTTTATTCATTCGACAGTTTCGATCGCAATCCTTCTAGTTTATTATATCTTCAAGAACATCCATTCTAATTTCTGAATTTTAATAACACCCTTTTTAATTTAATTTAAACATCACTAACACCCCTTATCATTAAACTACCATTTCTAACAAAAAAAATTCATCTAAAATACCAAAAATGCCCCTACATAACCTCAAGTAATTTTTCTATATAAAATTTTATTAAAATTTGAGCAGTTAAAATTTTTAAAAAAAATCGTAAATAACAATTTTAGTAAATAATTTGTTAGTAAATATTAATTTGTTATTTACTAATTCGTAAATTTTAAAAAAATTCAAGCCTATTAAAATTTACTTTTTAGATATTAAAATTTGAGCCGATTTGAACTTTACCCAAGTTGTTAGTACCAATTAAAATTTTCTTTCGAGTCGATTAAAATTTATATTTTTTTATTTATTCAAATTCGTGTCAATTACAATTCAATTTATTAAAATTTAAGTCAATTAAAATTCATATATTTTTATATATTAAAATTTGAGCTAGTAAAAATTCAATGTGAATTGATTAAAATTTGATTTAAGTCGATTAAAAATAATTTTTAATTGGCTCAAACAAAATTTTAACTAGCCCAAATTTTAATACGTAAAAAAAATATAATTTTTAATTGGCACAAATTTTAATATGTAAAAAAATAAATTTTAATTAACTTGAATCGAATTTTAATCAGTTCGAATTTAATTACGTAAAAAAAATTAGAAAATAGAGGGAGTCTCTTGAAGATATACTTATCTAGAGGGGGTCTCATTGAAGATATACTTATCTAGAGGGAGTGTGGATGGCGTTTGTCCTCAAATATATCATGGGCAATTTAGTAAAATTGTATTCTACTTAATATTTTTAATCTGACAGGGGATGTCATTGAAGATTCAAAAACTAGAGTAGGTGTCCTTTAAGATATGATAAACTTGAAGGGGTGTGGTTGAAATTTTTCCTCAATAAAATTACATCACCATGTCAGTGAGGTCGAATTTTTAAGCCTGAATAAATAGCATTACTCTTATTTACAATAGAAAATTAGAAAATTTTTAATTATATCTCTTATAATTTATCAATTCTTCAATAACACTTCTTCTATTATTTAAAATCATTGACAACCCTTCTATTTTATTTTTGAATATCACCGACACCCCCATACCATTAAACTACATTTTCTAACAACAAAAAAAGTCATCTAAAATACTAAAATTGTCCTTGTATAAACCCCAAACAATTTTTTTTACATAATATTCAATTAAAATTCGTGTAAATTAAAATTTATTTTTTTACATATTAACATTCGAGCTGATTAAATTTTATCTTTCTACATATTAAAATTTAAACCGATTAAAATTTGATTCAAGTTGATTAAATTTTTTTTTTTTTCGATTCAAGTTGATTTAAGATTCATGTATTAAATTTTAATACATGAGCTGCTAGCACTAATTAAAATTTAATTCGAGTCGATTAAATTTTATATGTTTTTACTTATTAAAATTCAATTTAAGTTTATCAAAATTCGCTTTTTATGTATTAAAATTTGAATCGATTAAAATTTATATTTTTTTATGTATCAAAATTTGGGCAGATTAAAATTCAATGCGTGTTAATTGAAATTTGATTCGAATTTTAATCGATTCAAATTTTAATAAGTAAAAAAATATAATTTTTAATCAACTTGAATTTTAATACATAAAAAATAAATTTTAATTAGCTCAAGTCAAATATTAATAGACCAGGATTTTAATAAAAAGTTTCATTGAAGATATGTCTATTTAAAGTGGGTGTAGATGAAGTTTTTATTAAAATATATCATGTGTAATTTAATAAAATTATATTTTAATTAACATCATTATTATAGAGGTGTCAATAAAAACTCAAAAATTAAAAAGGTGTTTTTAAAGATATAACATAATAGAAGGAATATTATTGTAATTTTTTCTAGAAAATTCAATCTTAAATCAATGAAAGATTGTAGTTGACTACTTAATGATTCATTGTATGGAGATCCGAGAAGTGACCTATGGGATGACCTCAGCCACCTTAACCATTAAGGTTCCGTTCCTCATGCCTTAATAGTTTTAGGTAACCAAAGTTGACCAATACTGAGTAAATGAAACATGGTTAGTATTTTTTTTGGTCTTCAATTTTATACATTTAGTATTAAAATATTTAGTTCGACTTTAAATAATTCTTAGACAGTCTGTTAAATTTTTAATAGAATTGATCACATGATTCTGATTAAAAGAATGACACGAGATCACTTTTATCAAAAAAACTTAACAAAACGTTTTTATTAGAAACCATTTAAATACGAATTAAATATTTTAAATTTTTAATTAATAAAATTTATACATTGAACACTAAATTGACAAAATGTGTATGCTTTAAAGACCAAAAGTATTATTTGGTTTCTGTTGAGCAATATGCATATTAATGTGGTTAATCCATGTATTATTAACCCATAAATATTTCCATGTTTGATACATGTATGGTCATACACAATCTGATCCATATCATATTCGATTCACGACATATCCATGTTTAGCTCTAACTCTAATATTTAATTATTAGTTATTGTCTGTGCCTGAAGACACAAAGTAATAAAAAATAATAAACAATAAATATATTTGTATTCATATTTAAAATTAAATCGCAAACATAGAGAAGAAATAAAAAAATTTAAACATCTGTTTGTAGTGGGGGTGAGAGATATAGGATGATAGTTGTGGTGGTAGAAGACAGTAATAATTGTGGTGGTGGTGATGATGGTGGTGGAGCTAGAGGTGGTGGTGGCGGTGAAGGTAGAGATAGAGGTGGCGATGGTGGCGACGATGATGATGGTGGCGGTGGCGACAGTGGGGGGCGACAGTGATGGTAGTGGCGACGGCATCGACGATGGTGGTGGTAATGGTGGTGGAGGTGGAGGTGACAGTGACAGTGACAGTGGTAGTGACAGTGACGGTGGTGGAGGTGGAGGTGGCAGTGACAGTGGTAATGGCAGTGGCGGTGGCGGTAAAGGTAGTGTTGGAACGATTCAAAACAATTTTTTTTCTATGTAAGTATTTATGAGAAATAATTCTTAAATACACTTTTAAAAATTTACTCCAAACATATTTTTACTGGCCTATTTTTTTTTATTAAATTTAATTTTTTAATATTAGTCGTTAGATTAATTTTAAAGTAAAATATTAAATTAATTTTAAAATAAAATTTAAAGCGATTTCAATCGTAAATAATAAAAATAATTTTATTTATCTTTAGAGATTTAAATTATAAGTTTCTTTATTATATAAATTATTTTGACACGTAGACCTATTTATAATAGCAATATCCTGTTAAGGCTAAAAATGGGGTCCACAAGGGGCCGGGTCCAACCAAACCAGCCTAGTATTCTGGGTCCAAGCCTAGTATTTTCCGTGCAATGCTACTTGGGCTTTTGCCGATCAGCAGGCCGGGCTGCCTTTTTTCCAAAAAATTTTAACTAAAATATAATTTCAAAAAGAAAACATTTTTCCTAATCCAAGTCTTATACATTAACGAATTAATCAGCTTGAATTAGATGCTACTCTTCCCTTACTTTATTATACCGATTACTACAGATAAAACGAAGGACATCGATTGTTCATAACAAATATGACAACCAGAATTATTGGACATTTAGATATAAAGTTAATATCGGTCAAAATTAGAAAACTCTATCAAGATAAAGTAGTGTCTTAACTTCAAAACAGTTACATATACATCAACATCAACTAGAAGATGTTACAACAACAAAGCTTAATACATTACTGTGATCATCCACTGACCACTGGGTAAATAACTTCTCAAACATAGGCAACACTGAAATACAAAACATTACCAAAAAAAACACACAGGACTAGAAGGGTAGCCTCTAACTCTGCAGGTTTTCATTGCCAATAGAATTTTAGGTCTACCGGCAGCAGGGACAACATAAACCAAACCAAACCAAACCAAAACTAAACTAAACTAAGACTTATGTCCCAATTATTTGGATCGACAGCAGAGGCAACATTAGTATGCTATTTATTTGGGAGGCGAGTTTGGAAATAGGCCTTTAGTTTGTCTCTGGGAGGCAGATTTTCCTTGATAATGCTATAGTTGATGAACTCATCAATCCATTGGCATAGTTTGGGGAATTTCTCTTTTGTTAAAACCTCAACACCCGTTATTTCCTGGATAATTCCCAACCAAAAGCCTATGAAATTAGCAACAATATCAACTGGTCCGATCGCGTCTCCTCCGAAGAATTTCTTATCCTTGAGTTCATTGTCGAGAATTTTCAGCAGCTCACATGCTTCTTCCTTGCCCTTCTCTTGTTCCTCGCCTTGGCTCCAACAAGTCTTCCATAACGTAGGCAAGCACTGAAAAAAAAAAGGTATACATTTTTAGGCACTGTTTGATAACGTTTTTTTAAAATAAACAGATGATTGTTACCTTGTCATCGATGAACCTAGCCCAGAAACGCGCCACGGCTCTCTTGTAAGGATCTTGGGGGAAGATGGAAGTGCCTTTCCAGGTCTCATCTATGTATTCAAGTATAACAAGAGACTCACAGATTGGCTTTCCATTGTGCAAGAGCACCGGAATCTTCTTGTGAACAGGGTTGTACTTAAGAAGAAGAGGACTCTTGTTGGCCAAATCTTCTTCTATGAATTCATATTTGACACCCTTCATTTTCAGAGCAATCTCTACTCTGCGGCTAAATGGGCTTCCCCAAACACCAAACACCTTCACTTCTTCTGCCATTGTAGCACTTACTCTCAGCCCTTACACTTTCAGAGACACTTGCGATGTAACTTTTCAATGCTGGTTTTCGTTTATATAGACCATACAGTAACCATCAATTGCGTAACTTTTTTATGGGTGATTGGAGAATTATTGTGGTAGAATTGTTCAAAAATGGGATGCCGTACAGTCATAGAAATTTGCAGATATGAGTAATTAAGGAGTCGTTGCAATAGTCAGAGATAACATTTTGACAAATTTATTGCTCTGTTTGCATCTAGTAGTGACCTAAGGGATGACCTCAGCCACCGTCCTCGTTAAGATTTCTCTCAATAATGTGAATTCAATACTTAAATAATAATCTTTTTGTTCATAAATATATGTCATTTTATGTAATTTTTTTTATTTTATAATATCTGTCGTTTAAAGAAATCAAAATATAATTAATATTTTTTCTTCTAAATTTACCCTTAACTTTTCAATGCATTAGATTTGATAGAGACTAAGTGTTTTTCATATTCTTTTTATTCTCAATACGTATTGAATAAGAGTATTTTAATCTTGTGCAATTATTTTTTACTCATATTAGAATTATTTAATAGCTTCATTAATCTCAGTGTAAAAACATTAAACGACAGATATTTAAGAACGGAGGAAGTAATTAATAACGGATGGGTCACCGATTAATATTATTTAAACTTAATTTACTGATTTAATTATAATTTAATTATTTATAATTATTAAATTAATTGTAGACTCTACTATTTATTTGGACCTATAACCAATCTAATAGTTATAATGATTTAGATTAATTAGTCAGTACACACGTGTGTTACTAAGTTGATGTTACTATGTTTACATCAGCTAATTAGGTGGCACTGTGCATGTTACTTTTGCACATAATTCTTAATAATTGTTTTATATCCATTACGCTTGGTAATTTTGTTATTATGTTTACATCAGCTAATTGGGTGGCACTGTTCATGTTACTTTTGCACATAATTCTTAATAATTGTTTTATATCCATTACGCTTGGTAATTTTGTATTATGTTACTATATGATAGTTAAGCTATTGATAATATAACGTCATGCTACAGTGTCACCCTATGCTTGTATTATGTTCTTATTTTATATTACTTTATGTTTGTATCATGTTACTATTGAATTTGAATTGTTAAGGAAATCTTGTGATCTGAATTTTACTTAATATACCAATGATTTATTTGTACATCAAACTTTCATATATAACTATCAGAATATATACATTTTATATAAAAATTTTGTTAATTATCAGAATATTTAATAAATGATTTCCAGATAAAACTCAATTAATGGTTTTCATATATAACTCAATCAACGGTTTCCATATATACTTCAATGATCTAACCTATGTAACTTTCTATAACTGGACAAAACTAACAACATTAAGGGTAATTTTGAAATTTAAAAAAAAAAAGAACTTAAGAACATACATATAAGTTTGATCATGCACTTAACCCCAAATAAATTTTATTCCCAGATTCAAGTCATTATAAGTCCATCTACGAGGACTCACCTCAAATGTTCACAATTTTTAAATACCATAAATAACTCATGTAAAAAAAGTCTTATAAAAATATAAGTCTAATCAATCATTTAGGCCCATAGCTCAATCCAAATATTAAATATATAAAAAAATTAACAGTAAAAATAAAAAAAAACTTGAACTCAAAGGTCACATTAAATTAAAAAAAAATCAAAAAATCAAATAATTACCTTACTTTTAAATCTCTCTCTCATTAAACCATCACAAAAGCAATCATTTTTTCTTTCTCTCTCATTAAACTAAAACCAAAAAACACTTCTCTCTCTCTAAACCAACATAAAAAGTAATCTTTTATTTCTTTCTCTCTCATTAAACTAAAATAAAAAAGGCACTTCTTTTTCTTCCTCTCTCTCTCTCTCTCTCTCTCACAGTGTAGTGCTCTTAACTAACAGATTCACAATAACATACTAACGGTGACTAGTGACCGTGAGATGGTCTTCATCCTTTATCATCGATTTGAGTTTTTATTGCAACATAAGGGACATGGTTCAGAACCAAAATTCAACATTTGAGATCATCCAAGGTTCTATTATTTCATAATTTTAAAATTTTTTGTTATATATTTTCACTATATTATATATGGTGTTTGTTTCGTTGTTATATAGTTATAATATATTAATAATATAGAACCTAGAAGACAACCAAGTGGATATGAAAAATAAAAAAGAAAAAGAAAAAAAAATGGACCAACTAATAGAATCTCAAAAAAGATCTCTTAATAAATTTATTTTTAGTAAAAACAATAATGTAACAAAAAATTTAGATGAAAATTTTAAAAATGAACAAGTAGATGAAATAGAAGAGAATAAAATAAAAAATATTGAAACAAAAGATAATGAAATAGAAGAAAATGACCTAAAAAATATTGAAATAAAAGATAATAAAATAAAGGATAATGAAATAGAAAATATTGAAAAAGAAAATAGTGAAAAAAATGTAATGAAATAAAAGACAGTCAAAATCTTAATGAAACAAGTGATTATAGTCATAGAAATATTTATGATCAAAGTCAATGGAAAAATATTGATACAAAATTAAGAAATTTATTAGTAGAAAATGGTCTAATTAGATATAATAATTTAGATTTTTCTTGGGGTGAATTCTCTAGACATTTTTTCACTACACATTATATTTGCAAATTAACAAATAGGGAAACAATTGATAAAAGATGGCTAGTATATTCAAAAGATTTGAATAAAGTATTTTATTTTTGTTGCAAGTTATTCAATATGAATCATTTTACAAGTAAACTAGCTAATGAAGGAACAAAAGATTGGAGAAATATTGGTGTTAAGCTTAAAAACCATAAAATAACTAATGAGCATATAACTAATATGAATACTTGGATTGAATTAGAAACAAGATTGTAACTAAATAAAACAATTGATAAAAGCATCCAAGAACAAATTAATAGAAAGAAAGAATATTGGCAAAAAGTATTAGTAAGAATTATTGCCGTTGTAAAAAATTTTGGTGAAAATAATTTAACTTTTTGGGAAAAAATGAAAAGGTATATCAAAAAAATAATAACAATTTTTTAAGTTTAATTGAAATGATTGCGGAATTTGATCCAATAATGTAAAAACACATTCGTCGTATTCAACAAGATAGAATTCATAACCATTATTTTGGACATAACATACAAAATGAATTGATAAGTTTGCTAGGAAATGTTATTAAAAAAGTTAATGAAGTAAAATATTATTCAATCATACTTGATTGTACTCCCGATGCAAGTCATCAAGAACAAATGTCTCTCATATTACGACGCGTAAATATTATAATAAGTCCAATAAAAATAGAAGAATATTTTTTAGAGTTTATTAAAATAGATGATACAAGTGAAAAATGTTTATTTGATAAACTTATAGATGTAATAAGTAATCTTGAACTAGATATTAATGATGTACAGGACAAGGATATGATAATGGATCTAATATGAAAGGAAAACATCAAGATGTAAAAAAAAGGCTACTCAATATAAATCCTAGAGCATTTTACACATCATCGATCGACTATCAATTGAAAAAGATATGTTATAAAAACTTGAATATAAAAACCTTAATTAATACTTTTGCAACTCAAAAAACAAGAAAATTTAATTTTAAATAAAAAATATTAATACTAAACATAGAAGGCCTCATTTAGAAGTATCGTTTTAGGCCCTAAATTGTCTTAAGCCACTCATGCATATCGTTTTTGTTTTCACAACTTTGATTAAAAATCAATAAGAAAACACACAAATGGACACAAAAACCAACATTTCTTCATTGTTCAAATAGAATAATCTTGTAATCCAACAGGTGGTTAGTGTAACCTTCCCATTGCCATGAACATCACCCTGAAAATGACTACAAAAGTAAAGATTTCCATCATGGCTAATGACCAGCTCAGATTCAAACCAGGCCTGGGTCCGTCTATAGGTTGAGCTCAAGTCATCAAAAAGAAGGCTAGACCTACCTCATGATCTCAGTTTAAGAGTCCAGGAAGAGTCAACACACGTGAGAGAGTAATTATCGGGATAACCATTACTTCAGGATAGCACTCATCCCCAACTGTAACTATCTTTCTCGATAGATTAGTAGCTTGACTCTCACATCAACACTTCAGTTAGGGCTCTGTGCTAATAAATTGTAAGCCCTCTATGCATGAAGGGCAGACACAACTATCTCACACACAGAGATCTCACACACATTACTTTGAGCGTACTATTGCTCTCTCTCTCTCCCCTACTACCTTATACTCTCTCATTAATAGAGTTCTCTGGCCACCGTTGTTGCCTTCAATGATTAGGTCACTCAAACCCAACCACCCAATCTTGGTCTCTGTTATTATTTGCTTCATTAATTGCTTTATATCATACACTGGACTGATTGATTGTGCATAAATTCATTTTTGGGCATCATCAGTTTGGTGCCGTCTGTGGGAATTGATTTGATTCTCACCTTATAATCTTCCTACCTCCAGGACTACCTTCAATGACAATCACAATTAGATCTATGAACTACCAAGCGGAAGATGACCCGCCACACCAAGATGAGGTCCTACCACCACCGGTGAACCCTGTTCCTGAATCCCAACAACTGTTGGAGACCATGTAATAACTAATTAACCAAAATCAGCAGATCCTCACGCTGAGGATGTCGCCAAAACAAGGTGAGCTAAATTGTCACGTAGTGGGGAATACAGAAAGTAGACATGTGCAAAATCTATTTTTTTACTAATTTGTGGTTAAAGTTCAAATTCAGTGAGAAAGAAGCAATTTTTGGAGAAATTTCGTGTCCAATTCACCTCAAACAGACAACCGAGCACGAAGTTATGGCCGTTTTTTCATGATTGTCTAATACTTCACCAAGCACTACTACCCAACATGCCAAGATGTCACCTGTTGTATCCCAGTAGCCTAAAGGGACACTTGGCACCACTTAGTTTAACACCGCGTCTCCCTAGAGCGTCGCCATGAAGGCTGGCACCGCCTAAAAGCTCATAAGGAATGGTGTCGCCATCTAGCTAGGCTCTTCCAATCGAGCCACTCTACTTGGTGTCGCCTAGGCCAAGGCTAGTGCCCAATTGCCAAGCATCGCTCAGGCCAGCCCCAACTCCACTAATGCCGAAGCCTTGCCTCTACCCAGTTGGCGTTACCTATTACGTTGGCATTGCCTCCAATTTCCTAGGGGCGCCGTCGCTGAGGCCATCTCCAATGCCAAAGGCGTCGCCCAAGTCACTACACAGTCGCCTCCTCCTGCCCCTATGCAGGCATCGTCACCTACTACGCCCAACCCGTTGCGAAGTACAATGGTGTCGCTGCCACCGTTGGCACCGTCCAGTTTGCCACATGCACCTATGTTGCCTAGCGTGTTCCTAGTGCTTCGCGTGTCCCTAGCATCACCCAGCGTCACCTGGTGTTGTCCAGTGCTACCTTGGCACCGTCCTAGCGCGTTGCCCAGAGCCCTAGAGTCGCTTAGACCCCTGCCAGCTGCTCTGGCGTCGTTGCCCAACACCCCGGCATAGCCCAGGCCAGCCCCAACTCCATCGACGCTGAAGCCTACCTCGCTAAGGGTGTCACCCTGGCCAGCTCCAGCACCACCGACCTCGCCTAGTAGTTTGTAGCGACCAACTCCCTGTAGGCCCTCATTCTTGGTGTCGCTCAACCCCCCTCTGGCGCCATCGCCGACGACATCTGTTGTCGATTCCATCGTCCTCCCACTTGCCATCATGCTCCTCTCCTACCACCTCCCTCAATGGCTTATGGAATGGAAAGGATAAGAAGGAGATGGTTCAAATCTATATATACTGGCCTTTGAAGCCCTAAGGATGATACCCTTGCCTTGGCACTTGCCTTGCTTGACTTCTTGCCCGTCTAGGCGCACCGTCGCATCATGTGCCCATCTTGTCCAATAGTGCTTATTATGATCGGTGTCACCTTCTTGGAGCATCAAGTGACCTCGTCTTCTGTGCTCGATGCCCATGCACCACCGATTCTATTCTATCAGCGTCCTCTAGCTACCCTCACTGTTTTCTCCGTCTCTTGGGAGAGAGCCACCTGAATCGTCCAAATCTTAACCCACTCTGCCTAAGCCTCAATCCCTAACTTAGCAGCTTTCACATGAAAACTTCAGCCTCAATTTGCCTCTGTTCTCAAGCAGTCTATGTCTCCAGCTTCGTGCTTTCTCGTGAGTTGCTAGAAAGCTTGACCTAATCCTGTGTCTTCTCTCAAGCAGTCTATGTCTCCAGCTTAGTAGCTCTCATGTGAGTTGCCAAAAGCTCGGCCTAATCCTACTACTGCTCTCAAGGAGTCTATGTCTCCAGTTTAGCAACTATCATATAAGTTGCCAAAAACTTAACCTCACTTTGCCTCTACTCTCAAATAGTCTATGTCTCCAGCTTTGCACACTCTCACGAGTTGCTAGAAAGTTCGGCCTAATCCTACTTATGCTCTCAAGCAGTATGTGCTTCCAACTTTTCACTTTCTCGCGAGTCGCTAAAAAGCTCGACCTAAAACTGCTTCTGCTCTCAAGCAGTCTATGTCTCCAACTTAGCGGCTCTCATGTGAGTTGCCAAATGGTCTTACTTTGCCTATGCCCTCAAGCATTCTATGTCTCCAGCTTCGCGCTCTCTCGCGAGTCGCCACAAAGCTTGGCCTAATCCTGCTTTTACTCTCAAACAATCTATGTCTTCAAATTCCCGTTCTCTTGCGAGTCGCCAGAAAGTTTAGCCTAATCCTATTTTTTTCTCTCAAGAAGTCTTTGTCTCCAGCTTAGCAACTCTCACGTGAGTTGCCAAAAGTTCAGCCTCATTTTTCCTCTACTCTCAACCAGTCTATGTCTCTAGCTTTGCGCTATCTCGTGAGTCGCCAGAAAACTCAGCCTAATCCTACCTCTGCTCTCAAACAGCCTCAATCCCCTTCTTAGCACCTCTCTCACAAGTCGCCAAATGCTTGACATCTTTCTACCTCTGCTCTCACGCAGCAGTCTATGTCTCCAAGTTCAGCTTCTTTTACTTCTACTCTTATGCAAACAGTCTCAATCTCTAGCTTAGCGTCTCTCTTATGAGTTGCTAGAAAGCTCGGCCTAATTCCTACCTCTACTCTCAAGCAGAATCAGTCTCTAGCTTAACGACTCTCTCGTAAGTCGCCATAAGCTTAGCCTAACTCTGTCTTTGCTTACACACAAACATCCTCGATCTCTAGAAACTTGATCTTAAGACGTGCTCTCAACCTCAATTGCTCCTTAGCAGCCTGGCATGCCCATCTCTCTTCCGCCAAAGCTCTCAACACCTCATCGAGTTTGAGTATCCTTAAAGGCACAAAAGTCATCTGCGAATATCCTAAAGTAAGAATGTTAGTAGGACCAAAACATACAGAAGTCAAGGTTCCACAGAGAAGAGGGATACCATAACAAAGTCGTCCATCATGGTTACTCTCAGGACCCTGAGAGCTAACCTCTATAATATTTGAGAGGTTCACAAACCTCTAAAGATGCTCCTCGGCCAAGTTCACGTCCTGCATCATGGACATCGAGCCACTATTGGAAGCAATACAATTACATGAAGCTCCAGTCTCAGTGGAAGTTTGTACAGGAGCCTCAATCTCTAAAGTAGTCCTACGACTAACCTAGGACTCAAAGGGTAACATGCTGAGAAGAAATAGGGACACCATCAAACCTTACTCTTCAATAAATAGTAGGGTCATCAGACCTTAGCTAGAAAACACTAAGGGCATCAGATCTCACCCTCTTAGGAGGGGGAAAGTCAGCATCCTAGTTATATAGAAAGCCTCCACCATTGATTTATCAACCACATGATCAGCTATGGCGTCGCCTAGGTTTACCTCCATGGCGCCACCCAAGCTTCTCTCCCTTTCCAAGGCGCTACTTGCTAAAACATCTCCATCTCCTCGCGTAGAAGCATGCATCTCTTTCTCCTCTTTATCCTACTGTAGGCTACCATATAAGGAAATAAGTTTCAAAAATACAATAAAGTGGAAAATTGAAAAAACACCATACAGAACAAGATATCTGCTCTACCCAAATGAATGAGCTCACTTATGCCCTCAACCCTCAATCACTACTAGGGCTTGGGGGGAAAATGATGAGGCCAGATTAAGACCAGGTTTGGGCCCAATCCATGAGTTGATCCCAAGTCATCAAAAGGCATGTCAGACCTACCTCATGACCTCAGTTCAAGAGTTTAGGGAGAGTCAACACACGTGGGAGAATAATTATCGGAATAACTATGATTGGACTCCACTGAAAAAATTGATAGGACTCACTCATTTAAAAAATAATATGTATTTCGGTTATAACTTTTTGTGTTTCATTGAATTTTGTAGCACTTCTTTTGTTAAAAAATGGAAAGTCATACAGTCATAGAAGTTTGCTGATAAGAGTAACGAAGGAGTAGTTGCAATATTGAGAGAAAACATTTTGACGAATTTAATGCTCTGTCTGTGTCTAGTGGTGACCTATGTGATGACCTCAGCCACCTGCCTCATTAAGATTTCTCTCAAAAAAGTGAATGCAACAATTAAATAATGTTTAATCGTAGCACTGTTACAAAATTCAAATGACATTCAAAAAATTACAACTTAAATGCATATTATTTCTTGAATGAGTAGGTACTATTAATTTTTTCAGTGAGACTCACTAATCCAAAGAATTATATGCATTTAAATTTTAATTTGGGTGAGGCTATTTTCACCATACAAATCTCTATTCCCATCTCATTTAATTTTTCATTATCAAATTACTAAACCCACACCTTCTACACCCACTTCATTAGTATGTAAGTCCACTATATGTTACATACACCATATTAATAGTTAAGTTTATTCATTCTATGTACACCATTTTAATGAAAAAATAATTAATTTGAATAATGCATAAATATATTTAGGAAATAAGAAAAAAAATATGCAAAATTGTAACAACCAAAAACAAAACAAGGAAAAAAATAAGTATATCAAAACAAGAAAAAAGAAAAGAATTAAACAAGAAAAAAAAAAGCAGACTGAGACAAGAAAAAAAAAAGAAAAAACAGAAATAAAGAAATAAACCAAAACAAGAAGGAAAAAAAACAAACAAAAATTAAAGAAACAAGCAAAACTACAAGACGCAAAAACGAATATAAAAAAAAAGCATCAAACACAAAATCGAATAATTAAGAAAAAAATAACAAATAATCTAATGCACAACCTTCACAAGATAAAAAAAACAAATAATCTAAAAATATACATATGTACACACATATAAATTCTAAATAAACAATTATTAAATTTGATAGAGATATCATAACATATTGAAAATAATAAAAATTCATATAACAAACATAAAATTAAATTAAGAAGTAATACTAACATATATCTTACTAAAAAAATTTATATTGAAAAAATATTTTGTGAGTGTATGAGATGAGATAGAGAATGAAACTCTAATTATGACAAAATATAAAGTTAGTTTACTTATTAAAAGGGGTGTATGTAACATGAGGTGGGTTTAGTTACTAATGGAATATGTATAGAAGATGTGGGTTTAGCAGTTTGATAATAGGAAATTAAGTAGGGTGAGGATGGAGATTTGTGGGGTGGAAATAGTCCCACCCTTTTAATTTTTGGGTTTCACTTGAATTATGTAGTATTTTCCTATTGATAATAGAGTGGTCACCAATCTATATTATTTAGACTTAATTTATAATTTAATTATTTATGATGGGTCAAGCCCAACGGCCCAACTCATGTTATAAGCTTAGTTCAAGTTTATAGTCCGACTCCAAGAGATCCAGCGAATCCAGCCCAGTGTGCCCAACCCGATCAAGCTCATCAGTGTAGTCAGCCCAGTCAAGCTTAGCAGCTCAAGGAGCTAAGGGAGCAAGTAAGGTCATCCAAAGTCTTATCCTCGCTGCCCTGGAGATGGTCAACATCCCACCTCATCCTTTGACCGAATCTCATGGAAAGCACCGCAACTGCCTAGCACGTTGAGAAGAGCTCGCAAGATCCAACAAACTAGTCAACTACTTACTAATATCTTACCCAAATCTGTTAAGAAGGTGACTATAAATTGTAAACCCCACCAACACTTGGGGGGCAAATCACACTTAACCTGAGCATGACTCTCTACTCTTCCTCAAAACTTGTACTCTCTACTCCTCACATCCTTGAGCTAATAGAAGCACCCGACGACCAAAGCCATTCAAGAGTGGACGTAGGTCACGTTGACCGAACCACTATGAATCTTATCTCCTCCAATTCTCTTTTTACTTTACTCTTGCATTTATTATTCACACTTAACAGGTGGTGTGCAAAAACTATTTTGTGCATCATCAGTTTGGTGTCGTCTGTGGGAACGACTAAATTCTCACTTTTAAACACTCCCTCTGTTGAACCTGTGGTGATCACCACTAGATGCATGAATCAACCTAAGGATAATCCACAACGAGAGGAGGAGGTTGCTCCTCCACCTACCAACCCTGTCCCAAATGCTCCAGTTTCAAATTCTCAGCAAATGTTGGAGACTGTGCAGCAATTGGTGGCCCAAAACCAACAGATCTTGCAACTCATGCTCGCTGGACATCAGGGAGCTGCACGCCTTGGGCATCAAGGAGCTCCGCGCCCTAGACATCAAGGAGCTGCACGCCTTGGACATTAAGGAGCTCCACAACTTGCTGCTCCCCATTTGGGCACCCATGCAGGTCTGGGCGCCCCCTTTGGAGTCCTTTTGGGCGCCCAACACAAGGGAACCCATCATGAGAGACCTCTAGCTCCTTTTATTTCCCATGGTAAAGACCCTCATCTCTAAGAAGATGATGACGTAAACCAAAGCATGGAGTATGAGAGTCATTTTCATGATTATTCCAGAGGAGCCCCCAATCACTAGGACGAGAAAATTAAGGAAGTACAAAATCAACTGGGTGACGTCTTCAATGTCATGAAGGCGCAGGAACCCGAGACAGTGAACTACCTCATAAGGCGAATATACACGTCTTTCAAACCTGATATGGCGAACTTCTCCCTCCCTTAAAAGTTTAAAATTCCATCTGTGGAGACCTTTGATGGAACAAAAGATCCATTAGACCACCTTGACACTTACAAGACTCTAATGCAGCTGCACAATGTCCTAGACGAAATCATGTACAGGGCGTTCCCAACAACATTAAAGGGGTCCGCACGACAATGGTTTGCTAAACTCCACCCAGCCTCTATCGTCTCCTTTGCTGAGCTGAGCAGGTCATTCGTATCGCATTTCATTGCGGGGCGTCGCCACCAGAAGCCTGTCACCCATCTGCTTAGCATAAAGCAGGACCGGGAGGAGAGCCTGAGGATCTACCTCACTCTTTTTAACGAGGAGGTACTCCAAGTTGATGAGCCTGACGACAAAGTAACGATGACCGCCTTCTTGGGAGGCCTCCGCTCATCCAGATTCCTTTTTCAATAATGAAGCGACCACCAAAGAGCATGCTTGAACTATTGGCAAATGCTCACAAATATATGAATGCTGAGGAAATTAATAGGTCCAGGCAAGGTGAATCATCTCGCAGATCACCAGAAGCTTGACTTGCCTCTGCACTGTTCTCAAATAGACAGCCTCAGTATCCAGCTTAGCGACTCTCTCTCAGGTCGCCAAAAGTTTGGCCTCTACGCTGTTCTCAAACAAGCAACCTCAATTTCAAGCTTAGCGACTCTCTCGCGGACAGCTAAAAGATTGGCCTCTGCACTGTTCTCAAACAGGCAGCCTCAATATCAAGCTTAGCAACTCTCTCGTGCCAAAAGATTGGCTTCTGCACTATTTTTAAACAGGCAGTCTCAATATCCAGCTTAGCGACTCTCTCGCGGGTCACCAAAAGCTTGGTCTCTGCACTGTTCTTAAACAGGCAGCCTATATCTCCAGCTGAGCGACTTTTTCACGGGTCGCCAAAATCTTGGCCTCTGCACTGTTCTCGAACAGGCAGCCTATACCTCAAGCTTAAAGACCCTCTCATGGGTCGCCAAAAGTTAGATCTCAAAAGGTGTAGCTCTCTCACGAGCAATTCTCCAACTTTGTCTTTTCTCTCGTGCAAGTAGCCTACCTCTCCCTACAGGTAATTATGTGAGATATTTTAATGTTTGAAATAACATTATTTTTGTCATCATAACCAGGCTTACCCAAGGCGTCCAAACGAGGCAGCCAAGCAGAGGTGTCTGACGCTCTATGCTCCCCCAAATAGCAGCCCAACACCTAGAGAGGTATCTGATCCTATGTGCTCACCCAAACGAGGCAGCCCAGATCCTGAAGAGGTGTCTGATCCTATGTGCTCGCCCAAACGAGGTAGCCCAACACTTGGAGA